AAATATCTTTTACAATTATAGAGACTCTGTGATTTAAATGATAATCAATATCTTCGAAATACGAGTCTAAGAAAAAAAAAAAAAAAAAGAAAAGAAGCATACGATGAAACTTCGTCTTTTCGTAATTAAATATGATGTCTCTGAGTGCTCGTACCATTTTATAGCATCTGAAAAGAATTGAAAGAAGTGGCACTTCTAAATCCTAGGGTTCCAAGCAAATTTAGTTCGCGGTAATATTTTAATATAAGCGATACGATACAAAGTACGCTACTCCGTGAGAATATAAAGAATTATTGGATCCCATTAGTTCTTTTTATTTCTCATCGTTCCATCAGTTTCTTTTATCAGTAATTTTTCATCATAATTAAAAAAACGTTCCATTAATGACTATATATTTGAGAATACACGATCAATTAATTGATAATAATTATTTTTTCTAAACAAAATATAATTGTTAATCAGTTAGATTGTTATTCTTTGTAAATAAACATAATACGAACGATAAAATATTCTTATTGTTTTAAGTACATTAACCAATTGCAATAACTCAAAAACAGTGTCCTTTTTTACTTCTCGACTTTCAAAATTAGGTTAAATAATTTCTTTTTTTCAAATTACTTCTGTTATTCTTTCCATAAACTCAATCATCCTCGTAACTGACATTATACTCATTGCATAACTCCAACCTTTCAATTTTTCCTAAATAAAATAAAAATGTCAACTAGAAGAATTTTGCTAAAATTCCAAATCCCTCGTAAATTTAATAGATATAATCTACCTTAACTAGACCTCATTATCGTATTCCAATTTTTCAACCACCGCAACCATCCCATCACGTTAATTAACGTTGATTAATCTAACTTTTCCCAGATATTTCGAGAGTCAATTAGAAAAATTGACACGAATAAAATTGCAAATCTCTCTTTTAGTCTTATTCCTCTTCCACAAATTTGACCAAAATACAACCCCATCGTGTAACAGCCAACGTCGCTATAACTCCTCTCTCGTAACGTGCCACGCTCCTATTATCCATTTTCGTGTTTCCTAAAAAAAAAAAAAAAAGAAAAGAAAAAAACTACGTTTCCCAGTTTCCTGCAAAGACCTTCTCGAGGCGGAATGCGGGTCACGAATGCACACACGAGGGAGAGGGAGGGGGGGGGGGGAAAGTTTCGCGACGTTTACACGATATTTCTCACACGTGGGAATAATGGAAGCACTTGGCACGAGTGACGACGCAGCTGACGTTAATTATCCTAATGAATGAGAATCCCTCCACCTTCGTGACTAGCGCGAAATTGTCCCCGCGGAAGTAGAACTGGTTCACTTCCTTCGTCGACACAGTAAAATTCTCGAATCTATCGAAGGATAATGCATAATGATTACAATCTGTCTTCATCTAACTCTTCGTTATCGTCGATTATAATTTTTCGTTTGGAAAATTAAATTGGAAAAAGGATTCGTCAACATTCTCTTTAATGGATAATAATATTATAAATTTTGGAAGTAATTTTGCAATAATCATTGACCCAATTCTCTTCTTTAATTTGACGCAATTTTTATGTAAAAGATAATGTTACTCTGCCAATTGTAGAGATACTAATTTTGTGATTTATACGATTACAAAGCTCGTTGTGTGATTATTACACGCGAAGATAAGAGTAATACAAAAATTGAACGAATGAAACTCGATAAAATGTAAATATTCTTTATTTTCGATAAGAGTGAGTAGAAAATATTAATCAATTTACGAGGAACACGCGTTTACTTTTCATACATTACACACGAATCAACAATTTCCAATTATATCAAAGTAATAATAAAATTGTATAAAATTTCGTTCATGCATGCATAAACGTACAAAATTCGTAAGTTAAAACGTTTATCGGGAATACAATCTTCCTTCCAATGATCGTATCTCGTTGTTGTTTCCACTCTCTCGTTGTTGTTGCCATCCGGCCCAGTTTTCCCCACACTTCTCTGGACCTTGGCTGAATTCGAGGAGAGAGACAGATTTGGATTCGAGCAAGGGGAGGGGGAATAACGCGGCGATAGCCGAGCGAGTGGAAATGTTTGAACGCGTTGGAACAATGGGGAGAGGAGAAGAATGGCGCGTGACACGGAATTTAAGGGAGTAATCTCCGAAAATGTTGCCGCCGGTGCAAGGCGTAAAAGTAATCACATATTTTCTCCTCGCTTTTTCTTTTTTCCTTTTCTTTTTTTTTTTTTTTTTTTTTTTTTTTTTGTTAGGAAAATGAGGGTACGCACAACCTCTGCCTCGGTATCGTTTTTTGCCCTATGGCTTTTCTCTTGCAACGCACGACTTCTTAACGCGAGAATGCGATCCTCTTGGGTGGATTTTAATACGGAGCGTGAAGAGGATTAAAAAGTGGAAATGGGATAAACGTGTGTACGCGAGGGGTTGTTTTTTGTATTTTCTTTTTCTTTCTTTTTTTTTTTTTTTTGAAACAGTTTTGTGGTTAACGAACTTCTTGATGTTCGTTATGAAATTTTTTGTTGTTGAAATTTACGAATTCTATATTTTTTTTTTTTTGGAAAGAATTAGAAAGATAATGAAATTATTATATAGGTTGGAAATGTAAGTCTCGAATAAAACTTGAACTCTAGTTTCCTCTTCGTTGCGTGCTGCGTTTAATTAATTACATTAATTATTTTATCTCTTATCTACAAGTTTCATTATCGCAGAATAGAAATTCTTCTTTGATTAAATTGTTAAAGAGATGGGGAACTTGGAATTCTGTTATTTGGAATAAGACGGAACCTCGCCATTTCAGGCAAAAATCTTCGAAAGAACATTTGCATTCAAATCCTTTTGAATCTTTGTTCACAAACTTGATGTCAACTTAAACATTCGTAAATTATTTTCACGCGGAAACGTTCGAGTCGCAAGAACGTCGTGTCTCGATCTAACTTTCGATCTTCCTCATCGCGAATTTTGATTAATTAATCGAAAATAAATCGTCGACAATTTTCAAAATATCCATCCAAATTTTCGACACACGCGTATATATAATTTTTAATCAAGATCAATTTTAAATCATTTCCATAACTACGCTGTGCGTGGAAAGTTGTTGGCTTTATCGTTTTATTTATTATGCGAGCATAACGAAAGACGAAAGGTGGTAAATAACGAAAGTTATTTCAATGTAGGGGGGCCGTAAAAACGTGAAAGGGATGCGAGTGAAAGGGGGTTGACTCCGAGCCGGAGTTAGCGAATGATCCATTTTTCTTCACTTCGCGGATTTATGGCGCATTTACGTGGCCGAGACTTTTCGAATAAATCCACCCGGCCGGGGGATGATAATGGAGAACCGTGGACCATCCCTGATCCCGTGGAAACAATGTAAAAGCCCGGTAAAATCTTGTAAACAGAATTTCTGAAATTTCCTCGAATTACCAAAATTATAGGAAACTCGCAGAAATATTCGAATCCGTGCGATTTTGTTTTAACATCGAAGGGGGAATGTTGCAGGAATTTTAATTATTTAGAGAGAATCGCTACTGATTCCAATGAAATCCAGTGGTTCCTTGAAATTTCTTTATAACAAAATTATTATTTTAATATGAATTTGTTTAAAAACTGTTAATAAATAACGAATCTAATAATACGCATCTAAATTATATCCTTAAAAAAGATTATTCAAAAATATTCCGTAAAAACTAAAAATTACCAAAAATTTTACCAAAATCAAGGAACAAACTCGACCTCTTAAAAACTATCCTGAATTCAGAGGAGGGTTCCTAATAATCGAGCGGTCCATCTCGAATTTATTAAATCGCATAGCGTTACGGGGGAGGGGTTAAAGATAAATCTCGGCTATTTTCTCGGGGGCGGAGGAGGGGGAAAGCGCTTCATTTACCTTTGAATTATTCCGCGCCCCCGTCGAAACGCTTGCTCAGCGTCGCTCCCTCTTTCCGCCTCGCGCTTTAAAGATTTTCCACGATCGACGTTTCCAACCAACACCGGAATAATTCACACATCTCAACCGCCAACTTCCTGCAGGATTACAATTTCCTGGACGATCCTCCCGTATCCTCTTACCTCTCGCCAACCTCCTCGATCTTTATTCCCCTCCCAATTCTCAACCATCGTAGGATACGATGACCGTCTCCTCTCCTCAGTGGGGGGGGGGGGGGAGGGGAAGCTCCTCGATCAGGTGATCGTGAATTCTAGACTCGTCTTAAATTCAATTGGACGGATTCGTTGCACGAGAAATAGGATTAACGTGAACTGGATATGGGAGAGGGGTGGATGACATTGTTGAGGACGGAGTTGAGTTGCATTGTTTTTTCCCAAGCGAGAATTTTTTTAATGAACTTTTATTATCTTTCAACATGTGCGCTTTTGGATATTTTCAGTTTTATTCTTTTATTCCATTCTTCAAACGGTGGATTGAAATTTGTTGGAATTTGTGCAATTATCTTTCTTTGTTGTTCCACACGCTTCTCGCGTTTCATCTATTCGTATTGTACAATGTGTTACTGATAATTATAAGCATGATCGATATCTAATCTGGCGTTTGGACTTGTCTTTAAAATTTTTCCTCGTGGAGAATATTTTATCGTGAATTTAATGCAATTGCTCAAAGATTAGATCATTATCCTTCAATTTCTGTAATAGAATAAAGTCGAATTCAATTCTTTGATAATATCAATATTAAATAAAATATAATTCATTCATACATTCACAGTTAAAATTCTCCAACAAACGATATTGACATTACATCCCGCTTCGATCATTTCGATCTTCAAACAGAATCGCACGGTTTAATTTTCTAATTTCCAAGGAACGATCGCCTCATCTTTTCGAAACATTCAATCCATTCGCCGTTGAAAATAAAAAGAGAGTATAAATGCCCGAGAGATCTCCCTTTCGAATGTGGAACGTATCACGAGGGACCATGCACAATATATGTATCCTCTTTCGTTTCATCATCCCTCGTTTGTTTCACCCCGCATCTAACCGTCTTCTTGCATTCCAGGAAGATGCGGCCACGGGTCTCCCTGCGAGCAACTCTGCTACGAGCTTCACGATGGGATGTACGAGTGCGATTGCAAGGACGGGTACATCCTTCATAAAAATGGATACAGCTGCGCCGGTGAGTTCACCTTTTTATAAATCCATGCCATGTACTACTCCTGGATAGACGAATCTGCTTTCTTCGATTCGTCGAACCCTCCGTGAAATTGCTTCCAAGTGAAACTTGGATTTCAAAATCCGTATGGTGGAGCTCTCTAAATTGATTAAGTTCTGCGAATTTGTAAATATTTCATTTTATTTTTCTTAGAAATGTTGGTTAGAGATAAGTAGATCGATAATCGGTTTCTTTTTTTTTTTAAATATTCAATTATTCTCTAAAGTCGAACCAAAATTTTGAGATTACGAGTGATAATTCAACAGATAGAATAAAACTTCGTTTTTATTATACATCTTGATGAAAAATTGAAATTAACGAATAATTTCTCTTTCCTCTACTTTAGAATGAATGAAATTGATTCAATTATAATTGGTATAAATCTATGATTTATTCCACATATTTCTGAGCATTGACCAAAAAAAATTCCTGGTCGTTTTCTGATTAAATTTAATTGGTTAATACGTCCTGGCACTGCATCAACTTTAATACCTAATGATGAAACAATTCATGAGTGAATTACATCTGTTGATGATGTGATTAATCGTAAAGGAATTCTTATTGGAATTACTGTTTCTAAATTTCTAAATCATTTCTAAAAAAAAAAAAAAAAAATAAAATGAAATATTCACAACCGATTCGCAAAACTTAATCGATTATGGAGAGCTTCACCTTACAGATTTTGTATCCCATCCACGCCTCGAAATCTTACGCGATATAAGCATCGTCGTCCAGGAAAAAATTCCGTCATCCGAGCGAAAATCCTTCGAGATTTCCTTCGACGTAATCAGTGCTCGCGTGCCTCCACACTTCAGACTTCGTATCGCGTCCAAGAAAATTCGCGTCGCGACGCGAGGATGGATTTTTTCCTCCCCCTCCCGTATCAAGAGTCTCTCGACACCAGGGGACGGGGAGTAATAAGAGTATCGGGGAGAAAAGGGTCCATAAGATGGGGTGGGGAGTTCCGTTAGGGCGCGATAAACGCACGATTCGACGTTCAATTTGATCGCGAGCCCTGTTCCAGCTTTTTTTTTCCTCCGGCTTATCCCCGGAATTGAATCCTCGACAAAATCGTAGACAAAATCGTGTTCCTCCAGAGTCTTAGTCGAATCTCTTGTAAACGATTCATGATTTTTTTCCCGCGTATATATAAATTCGTTCTCTATTATTATCGTAATCGATGAAGGAGAAATTTTCGAAGCTATTATCGATCGTTTGTGTACACGCTTTTTAAAAGAATTCGTGCACTATTCCAAGTATTTTTCGTGTTGAAATTCGGGCGAATTCGGTGAATTGTTATAAATTTTTCGAATAATTCGGGTAACGAAGTTTTCGCGCTGCCAACTTTTCAAAGATCTTTCGAATCGCTTCCGGAAACTTCTGAATTCTTATATTAAAAATCTAATGAATTTTTTCGCGTCGCAAAGTTTTATGTATTGTTATATTTCACTCCCATCCGAAAGTTCGAAAGTTTGAATTTTTATGAATTTCAGAAGAAGAATTGCGAATCTAATGAGGTTTTCGTGTTCGCGAAGTCTGCTTCAAGAAAGAAAGAAAAATGTTTGTACGATAAAATTGCGAACATGGAGGAAATATTTTTATATTTATTTGTTTGAAGAATGGACGCACGAACAATGAACGCGTTAAAGTTCTAAAGAGATATACGAGCGAAGAGTATCTCGTACCGCGCTATAGCTTGTTCCACGTGGAACGTGTTTTTCGCCGGTGCAGAAGAAATTTAATGAAATGGGCGAAACGTGGAAATATCAAATTAAAAGTCGGTTTAATTAATGTAGTTTTAAAACGAGTAGTTTCCCACCCCGTACAACCGTTGCTTCGTCATAATTCGTTGTTCCCTTTGTGTATCAAAATGAACGTACCATCGATGTAAAAAATCTCTCCTGAAGAATATTCCTGATTTTCTAAAGATCGGTTTTATTTTCATATTTTTAATTCATTTTCCAATTTGACTCAGTTGCCTTATCGAAACAAGACATAATTATATATATTGAATTTGTAGATCACAATGTATTACATATCAATTTTTTCTTTCATTAAAATTGCAAGAAATAAAATTAATTTTATGTATTATTTTCTCAATGATTCGAAATATTCAAGTTTTAACGCGTTATAAAAAGTACTTCCAATTGAAAAAAAATTAATGAAAATTTGAGATTCCCATCGAAATTATTTCGTGGAAAAAATTTTTTAATAAAATCAAAATACGTAAATTTCCTTGTAAAATAAATATCTTCACGAATATTTCTGCGTACCTATATAGACGTATATGATACAGTAATATTCTACAAAAAAAGCGATTTCTATTTAACGAAAGCAAATTCCCGAAAACGTAAAATTATTGATTCGGACAGAACAATTTTCAATCGCCGATTATTCATCGATTCCCGAGCGCAACGAAAAACGTTTAACGCGACGATGAAGGGTAGAAATGTCTTCTCGGCAAAACCAGTTGAAAGCACGTACTCCGTAAACGTGCTGCAATAATTCACTCGTCTCGTCTCGTCGCGTTCCGTTTTGGTCAGGCTGCGACAAGAAAATTGCGGGGGTGAAGTTGCTTGGTTATTATTAATAATGAAAACTCGACTGTTCCAGCTTCGTTACGCGCGTCTTGTTGTCCAGGAACGATCCTTTCTCTCGAAGAAAATCGGAAATAAAGCTCGATCGAGCCGAGAATCGTTGTTTCGAAACAGGGAAAATTATGTTGTATGATGAAAAACTGACAAGATTTCGCGCAGCATAAGTCAATATCGTTTGATTTAATCTAACTTCTATTTAGTCTAACGAATTTTCTTTGGATAGAGTTACTGGTAAATTTATTTAATAAAATCAAGTCTGTTCGTAGTCCCTGAGATTCGTTGTTCGAAGGGTTTAATATTTAATTCCTTGTGTTCTTCAAGAGAATTTTATAAAGAATTCGATTAGGAACAGGTATTCACCATTTTTGGGAATTTAATTATTTGCTATTATCTTTTTGGAATTCTTGAGTTTCTTGAAGTAGATTTGTTGGTTTTTGGTACTTGATCGTTCGTGATCTTGAAGAATTACCTTTTCTAGGATCAAATATTTAAAATTTTCGAGAGTTAATTATTTAAAGTTGTTTACCACTGCTAGTCAACCCCCGTTTCGAATGAACTGTTGGAATATTATATTTCCGATATTATTTTATGTATATCGTGTGTTTCCCGTCACATTTAAATTTTCCATAAATGCATAAAAATCCCCGGCAGACATGTACGCACAATTTCCAACGGCGCAATTTCAATATTCTCCCTCTATTTATGCATATACTATTATGTATATATATATATCAAAATGTATATACAAATATATGGCGGTGATATAGAGAAGAAAACGCGAATCAAAAGCGGGAGAGGGAGGGGAGGAGGAAAGCAGGCTCGTTCGCGCGTAAATTGTGCACCGACGTGACACCAACCACGCCGTTTTGCAACCGTTTCAAAGATCAGGGAGCGTGCACTGTTGCGAACGTCGTTGATGCGGCTCTCGTCGTCGGCTGCCCGCAACTCGGCGGAAGTAGTTACACCCCGATGGCCCTGGGAGGAGAAGCGTGGTCGTCGGCCAGATCCTTGATGGAAAGGCCTGGTGCTCGTTCGAATCGAAAACGAACCGCACAAGTTCGAGGCGGGTTCAACAGTTTGGAAATAAGTAACCGAGTTTCTGCGCGGGGCCAAAGCACTGGATTGGATAATGTTTTCCCCGTTTCAAAACTGCGTATGCACGAAGACTGTGACGCATTGCGAGAAATATTGATTATGTAACGGAGAGTTGTCGAGATTATTCGAAAGGATGGATTTAGAGAAATTATATAGGGAAATTATATAGGGAAGTTTGAAGGAGAAACTTTTTCCGTGTCAGATGTTTTACGCAGTTTTTACATATGTATGAATGTGCCGACATTTGTTTATGAAAATTCGTGAATACGAGGGAAAAGGAAATAAGGGGGAATGTGCATAGAAATTTGTCTCGTTTTCTAAACTGCGAATATTTTGCATATTTTCATATCCACGAATGTAACGAATTAAAAAATAATGAAACGTTTTTTCGCTCGAATAACGAAACTTTCGAATATCGATAGTCTGCTAACATTCTACTTTCTTTCCACTTATACGCGTATTCATCCAGTTATTATTCCACGAAAAAAAAAAAAAAGAAAGAAAAAAGTGATTTGACTTTCTCTTCGTTCCAACTCTCACACAAGTATCGAATACATCAATCTCCACGAACGTTTCCGAAATTTACTTCCCTTTCTGCCTGTCATCCCTTCGAAAATTCCCTCGACTATCCCCTAGCTCGTCGGTGAAAACTCGTCACACGACGAGGAGCATTCCATCCGGACGATGGTGGAAAGATGGATCGCGTTTGTTGTAGGCGAGCGAAAAAAGGATAAGAGAGAGAGAGAGAGAAAGAAGGCATTCGAATCTGTCTTGTGCGGGGATGGAGAACTCGAGCGTCAAGCTTCTGACAAGGGATCGCCTCGGTTGTATGCATGTATAATACGTGTGCACACGCGAACGACCCCTTTTGCCCGCAAATCGACTCCGTTTTGCACGTTCATCGCGCCACGCTGGCCGGCACCCATTCAAATAACTGTGCATCAGGCTGCTTACACGCCGATACGGGACGCCATTGAAACTTACACGGAAAGATTATCGGAGAATCGTTTGTTCCGCGAGACGGGGCGCAATTTTATGGGCGAAAGTGACGATCGACTCCCTTCGATCGCAATTCGAAGTGTTAAATATTAGATCTAGGAATTATTTTTTTTTGTCACTTGTGTATTGGTTTATTTTTCTTTTTTTTTTATCGATGAATAGGGGAGATAAGTGAGTATCATTCGAGGAATTAATTAAGGGAGACGATTTGGAAAATAATTTTTACCCTTCTGTTTCTTTCAATGATTTTCCAATATTTCTAATTTTGTTTCG